AGTTGGACAATGACTAGGGATGATAGAAAGAAAATTGATACCTTTCTTTGAGCTGTAGTGCTGGAGAAGAGTGTTGAATATACCATGGACTGCTAGGAGAACAAACAAGTTTGTCCTGGAGAGGGTGAAGGTGGGCTGCTCCTTGGAGTCAAGAATTCTGAAGCTTCATCTGACATACTTTGGGCATGTTGCAAAGAGGTCTTTGCATAGGGACATCATGTTTGGGAGAGTGGAGGGATGGCGCAGAAGAGGAAGACCCTCAATGAGCTGGATCAATTCTGTGATTGGGTGGTGGGAGTAAGTGTGTCAGAGATGGTGAGGTTGGCACAGGATAGAGCAGGGTTTAGGGCTCTTGTACGTAGGCTCGCTCTGAGTCACAAGCGACTCAACGGCACATAACAACAACAACATGCCCCTTTAGGGCTAATTTGGTATGGCAAGGCTAGGATTTGGGGTTAATATAGAAAGACCAACTTTGGCTCATACAGACAATGAATAAGAATGTATGCCTTTGAGCGGTGGTTTTGGAAAAGAGCACTGAACATCCCATGGATGGCCAAAAGAGCAAACAAATATTTCTTGGAGAGGATGCAGCTAAAGTGCTCTTTGGAAGCAAGAATGTGAGGTTTTGGCTTCGCCTCACATTCTTTGGGCATGTTGCTAGGAGGGACTATTCCTTGGAGAGTGACTGTTGTTTATAAGAGCGGAGGGTTGGTGAAGGAAAGGAAGACCCTCAACCAGGTGGATTGACATGGTCTGCCGCAATGGGCTCTAGTGTGTCAGGAAGTGGGAAGATGGCAGAGGATAGGACAGGATACATATCTGTTGTTCACACAGTTCCTATTAGTCATATTCAACTTGACAGCACCTAACAACAACAGCAACAACAACAAAATGACTGTAAACCAACCCTTTGACTTAGATCCTTATTGCAACCCCCAAACGCCATCCTCACCCTGTGGGGGTTCCATTGAGTTAGTTACCATTTGTCTACTTCCATCTGTCTCCATTTGTCTTGACATCCACTCTGAGTAGGTCTGTGCTGTGTAGGATTTTTCAATAGTTGTGTTTTTTTTTTTTATTCAGATGTAGATCACTAGGCCTGTCTTTCAAGGACTCTGGGTGAATATAAACTTCCAATCTTTCCACTCTTAGTTGAATTCATTAATGGTTTCAGTGAACACATTTGCTCATTATTTACAAAACATAGAGGTGTCTACTACAGGCAAGAATATTTTAATTATAAGTATTACCTCTCTTCATTTACCTTCTACATTGGAAAATTTTGAAACAGAATGAAATGAAAATTGAGTGCTGAAAATATGGAAATAAAAATATCATCTTTTTCATCACAGACTACATGAACTATAGGTGGCTTGAGTTACCTATATAATTTATTATGTTTAACTCATGCATATTATGGAATTTATAATTTTTCATTTACATTGATTCATACAATCATTCATATATATTTCATATAACTAATTACAAATGACATATGCATATTATCACTGGTGGGGGTTTTTTAGTCCTTATTGAATTTTTCCTATCCCTTTACCCCTCCAGCGGTTCTTTCCACAGTTATAAGGTATCTCGACGGCACATAACAACAACAATAACAACTTTACCCCTCCATCTTCCCATTAAACCCTGTTGTCCTAATGATTTCCTTCATATTTGATGGACAGCTTTGCTGGCTACAAGATTCTTGGTGGGCAATTGTTTTCTTTCAGTCTCTGCATATCCACCCCATTTCTGCTGATAAATCAAAACTTAATCTAATTATTTCTCCTTAGAATTTGACTCTTTTTCTTGTGCTGCTTTTAGTAATTTATTTGTATTTATTATTTTGGAGAATTTGACTATGATGTTTTTCTTTTGGAGTCTAGTCTGTTTGAGGTTTGCTGAGATTCTTGAATATGGAATTCCTCATTTTTCATGATACCTAGGAAGTTTTATTTCCTAGCATTTACCCCTTGCCCTGTTTTGGAATCCTGATCATATTTATGTTGTTCTGTTTGATTTTATCCCACATGATTCTAATATTTTCTTCATTTACCTTCTGTCTTCTGTTTTTCTTTCTAATTACGGTCCCATTGAGGCTCTGGGTTCTAGCTCAGTGACTCTCTGTTCCCATATCTTCTATTCTGTTTTTGTTTTTTTGGTTTTGTTTTGTTTGACTTTCAGACTATTGAAAGATTCTACCATTTTGGGAATATAGTCTGATTGCATTTTCATTATTATTACTATAATTATTATTATTGCATTTCATGTTATTCCCAGTACTACATTGGTTGTACTCTCTCTTTCTTGTGATAAATTTTTTAAAAATTCTTGTACCTCTTTATTTATGGTTTCAATTGTTTCTTCCTTGTAGTGTAACTTCTTCAGTAGCTATTCATGTAATTCCATGTTGTTATATTTTTTTCCTCTTCAAAGTCTCTGGAGAATTCATTTGATCTGCAATCTGTTTTGCGTTTTTAAGAGAATGCTTTTGTTTGTTCATTCATAATATTTGAAGTTGCCTTATGCTTTTTTTTTCTTTTTAATGAAAGTTTATAAAGAACTTGGATTTCCATTCATTCAGTGTTGCACATTTTCCTCCCTGTCCCTCCAGCCCCTAGTTCACTTTTTTCCTTTGGAAAAAAAGTTCTTTCATTGTTACCTGCTGCTTTCTTGACATGTGAAATTTTTTTTGGTATGTATAAGATAGCTTTTATTCTGTCTCTTTAGGTTTTTGACAGTTCCTTATTGTTTTGATGCGATTTATAAGTTTCATTCTTAAAGTGCTGTCTCTGGTTGAGTTTCCCAATTGTAGTCTTCCTGAGTGATTTTCTACCAGCAGATCTCTTATTTGTCTCTTTTGGCAAGCTTTCTATCTTGTTATTCTTTGAAGGACAGGGAGCTGCGATCTTTCCCTCTGTCCAGCTGTAATAAGCCAGCTTGTTTGTCCGGTCCTGTAGTTTGATAGGAGGTAAAGGTTTCCCCTAGGAGTACGCAAAGTCCCAGGAGTGCTGTCCAGGATACAGTGCTCATGGAAATTGCCCAGGAAGGTGAAAAGATCCCAACAATGCAGCCCTCAAGTTTAAGTAGTTACTAAGGTCCTGTACATCTCCCCTTTCCCAGGGCTAATTGGGATGGTTGGTATTCCATTTGGGGCAGAAAAAGGCCCATGAGAGGGGAATATTCTCAACAATTAGGCTCCCCATTCTGTATACATACTTATGTCCTGAGCAATGTGTTCCCTCTCAAGGACTGATTGAGGTGGCAGCTTATTTCTGCCTGAGCCAAAGGCTCAGGAAAGTGCCAGCATCTCAACACAGCTGCAAATTCTGTCTTCTTGCTCAGTAATGTATCAAATTTTAAAAATAAAATTATGGTATAATAATTAATATTTTCCTCAGAAAATTGGTTATTTAATGAACTTTATTTTTTGTTACCATAGTTTTAATTACCTAGCAATAAACTAAAAAACTCTGGTGACCTAGTGTATAAGGAGTTGCACTCTCCACAAAGGCAAGTGGTTTAAATCTACCAGCAGCTGCACTGGAGAAAGATGGGCATTACCCTCCACTGTGATTTACTGGCTCTGAAAACTTGCTGGAGGGTCAGGTATGATTGGTTCCAAGTCAATGGCACGTAACAACAATAGCAATAAACTAGATTAAAAAAATAATTTCCACTAGTGCATTCTCCCTTCAAAAATATTCCATCTTGGAATATGAAGCAGAAGTATTAAAAGCAATAGGTGAAAATTGCACCCAAATATTACTATTTCTTTCAGAAATGCTACAATCAACAAAAGCTTAATTTGGGGGAGAAAGTTACTTGCATGATAAATATTTGTCAATTAGGTTAAATATATTTCATTTTAGAAAACATAAGAACAAGTTGGGCATACATTCAATTGCCCTGAATCAAACATTTTCTACTCAACACAATTGAAAGTATGCCCAGTTGTAGATATAGTTAATAGGCTGGAGTTGATGGTGAGATTTGCCTTCTCTTATATGTCAGCCCTGTGATTAGCCTGTGCCCATTCCCGAATTAAGAGTTTTGGTATTGGAGGAAGATTAATCAATAACTTTCGGTATGCAGATGACACAGCCCTATTTGTTGAAACTGTGGAGAACTTGAAGTACTTAACTGCAGAAGATCAAAGACTGCAGCTTTCACTATGGACTGTATATCAATGTCCAGAAAATAAACTTTCTAATTACTAGGCCAATAAGCAAAATTATGATTTCTGGATAAAAGATTGAGCCTGTCAATGTTTTCATCTCACTTGGACCCATAATCAATACACTTGGTACCAGCAGTCAGGAGATCAGGAGTATTGTACTTGGAAAGACTGTAGTTAGGGATGTACCAAAAATTATTGAGGAGTAACAATGTTAATTTGAGGACTAAGGTGTGTTTGTTTCTGACCATGGTCTTTTCCCATCATTTGCTATGAATCTGAGAGCTGAACAATGAAAGACAGAAGAATAATTGTATGCCTTTGAACTGGGGTGCTGGAGAAAAGTACTGAATATCCCATGGACTGCCAAAAGAACAAACAGATTAGTGCTAGAAAAAGTGCAGTCAGAGTACTCCTTACAGATAAGGGTGGCAAAGTTTTATCTCACATACTTTGGGCTAGGAGAAGTTATTCCTTGTAGAAGTACATCATGGTTGGGAAGGTGAAAAGATGGTCCTCAGGAGAGAAAGACCATCAACCAGGGGATTGACACAGTAACTGATATAGTCAGCTGGAATATGTCAAAGATTGTGAGAAGGCACAGGAAAGGACAGGGTTCAGTCCTGTTGTTCATTGGGTCACTATGAGTCATACTTGACTTGACAGTACCTAACCACAAAACCACCATCTACCATTGTACTGTATTCTTGATGGACATGAAAAGATAATTGGTGAAATTGTTGCTACTTGAATAAGCAACATACCTTCAATTATTTTAATCAAGCATGTACTCATTTCCATGCACCTTGTTTTCTTTTAGGGTGTCTCAAAAGAATGTAAAGGAGAAGAAATTTTTCTAGGCCAGTTTGTATATAACAAACAAGAAACTACTGTTCAAACATTTGAGCTCCAGGTAATGAGAACCCCTGGGAAAAGGTGTTAGTGAGCTCCATCACTCAGAGGGATTTGTTGGGGTTGCTAGGTGGAAAGTGGCATGTGAAAATAGTTCTGATAGAACCTTGAGTTAAGCAACACCTATCTGAAGTCTTACAAAGATACTTAAGTAGATTTTAATGCATAGAACAGTCAAATATGTATGCAAATTTCTCCTCATAGGCTATCACATCACTATGTAGTCAGTTTTTCAGTCCTTAACTATTTATTTTCTTCGATACAATGAAGTTTGGTAGTCTCTATTTCTAAAAGAGTAAGAATGATGATGCAACATAAGCTGGTCAGAGGCAGAGAGAAAACTCAGAGGAAGACGAGAAATGTTTAATACTAAGATGAAAAACAGGAGTGGCATCCACTTCCTAAACAACATGCCTCTGGAAACTCTATGAACTTTGATAAATGACAATAGTTATAGAAAGAATTCAGACCTTTTTTTCCATAGGGTCGCTGTAAGTCTTGCTCAACTCGATGGCAGTCAACACCAACCACCACCACCCAATGAAAATGGATGCCAACTATTATAAAATCCCTGAAGCTTACTTTTTATTAGTCATAAGAAGTAACTGAAGAGATATAGAAGGCATTTTGAACCATGTGAACACAACTGTTTTATGTAACTTTATTTTTGTCCGGTGGTTAGAAAAATCCTAGCCTGAAACAGTGTTAGAAATTGATATAACTTAAAGGGTTTCTCATTTGATTGCATGGGGTCATATAGTATTTTACATTTGGCTCCAGAGATGTCCTCTCTCTTTCACTCACCCTCCACACACAGCCCAGGGTCTCAGCCCCATTCATTATATCTGGAATCTTTAAAAGAACAACTGTTCCTTGCTTCTTTAGTTTTGGGTGGCTGCTGGCAATCTTTGGCATTCCTTTGCCACTTACAGATCTATCTACTTTCCTCATGACATAGTGTCTGGCTTTCCCCTACATTTGGGGCTATTTCCATAAAGGATAAATTTATTTTATAAAATGCCACACAGAAAGGATTAGGATTTGGATCCATCGTGATTCGTTATTATAACATGTAACATCTTCAAGGAAAATGTGTTCACCTAAAGAGTCAAACTTATTAGTGCAGGAGCTTGATTTCAAGATTTTGTTTTGGAGGACAAAGTTCAATCCCTTACAGACAGAATTCTTTTGAAGGCATTAATTTGATCTTTTCTTCATTTTCAGCATGCAGTTTCTGAAACTTTGTCATGTGTGAAACTGAAAATCCTCAGTAATTGGGGTCACCCAAAATATACCTGTTTATATCGATTCAGGGTTCATGGCAGCCCAGGAAATTCCACATAAAATCAGCTATGTGGGAAGTCAAGTCTGCAGGTCATGATTACCTTGAGTTTTCTTATTCCCTTTAGATCACACAGCACCCATAGGGTAAAAATTTGGGAGTGCGAAGGAACCTTCAAAGTGGTTCAGATTTGCCACATAAACACAAAATGAGTGGATTTTACTAATTAAAAAAATATAAAAGTAAATACGTTCTCTGTGATAGTTTCATTTTTGAGGCTGAGTCATATTGAAGTGCTGAAAAAATATTATTCAGCATATTTTCAGCATATTTTAATACTTTTTGCCAGTATAATTCATAGCTGTTATTCTTATTATATTGATGCCTTTGAGCTGTGGTGCTGGGGAAGAGTATTGAGAGTACCATGGACTGCTAGGAAAGCAAACAGATTCATCCTGGAAAGGGTTAAACCAGGTGGCTCCTTGGAGGCAAGGATTCTGAGGCTCCATCTAACATACTTTGGACATGTTGTGAAGAGAGACCAGTCCTTGGAGAAGGACATCATGCTTGGGAAGGTGGAGGGACAGAGCAGGAGGGGAAGGCCCTCTATGAGGTGGATTGATTCAGTGACTGG